TGGATGCAAAGTTTTCAACTTTATCCAGTGTAAATTAGATGAAACAACCATCGTATGAAATGTCTGGTCAATCATTTTGTTTATTTCGGGTTTATCGTCCTTGCATCAGCCAGAATCATATGGTTGTTTTTGTTTGTTTTTAATTAGTTCAACGTCCTATTAACAGCTAATGTCATTTAAGGACGTGCCTCTATCTGCGTTGTGTAAGCGTTCATGTGTGTGTGTGTGCGGAGACAGGGTATGTTGATGTACTTGCCTCCTTTTGATAGCGCGGATCTGATGCCGACTTTATAGTGCTATCAAACTGCACATGTTGTCTGGTCAATGAAACATGTAGACATTCCGTCACCATCTTCCTCTTTATCCAGAGTCACTACATATAACTGTGTCATCATTACTCTCATCATCCTCATCATCGTGCAAGTATATATCTACTCATAAGTCATGTCACAGCGGATGCAATACAATATCTGGCTTCTATGGACATGGGAAACAGAAACTCAGGAGGCACGCGATCTTTTGAATGATGTTGCAAAGCTTTTCCAGTGACACAAGAGGCTCAGTTGAAAAGAAGTACATGTGCCGCATCCCACCACATGAAGTGCCTCTAGATAAAGATGAAGATGGTGACTGAAAGTCTACATGTTTCATTGACCAGACAACCTGTGCAGTTTGAATAAAGAATATGTCTTTTGAATCCTACTGCATGACCGTAAGAAACGACTAATGTGGAAGCCCCTGTAGAATTTTGGGGTTTCGTCCGTGTCTTCTACGAAGGGGAAATGGAAGAGACAAAAATTGATCTGCGTCCCCCATTACAACACTTTAGATCTTTTTCGTTTCCTTCCTTTCCTGTCTTCTTTCTATTCTAATTACTTGCTGTTTGTGGCGGCGACTACCTAGACACCCGTTCTAATATTAACCATTGGGGATTTGCTTTTATGCCCTTTATTTGGGGACATAAAAGCGACCAAAATAAATCTGCTGCATCCATTGCAATATTTAGGATTTACATTATATTTCTTTCTATTTCTAACTACCTTTTATTTCCTTGCACCTTGCTTGGCAATACCTCACTGTTGGCTTTAACGTTGAACGTAACAACGTTCGCCCAGGTGAGGAAGGCAATGGGTTCTGTCCCCAGGTCGGGAAATACCTTAAAGTCCTTAACAATGGTAGTTGTTATTCCCCGCTAAACGTTCAGCATTTAGGGAAATGGCAACAACTGGTTCACCCGTTGTCAGCATAATGTGACCAGGCGGAATGCTGTGCTGGGTGCCTTTGGCATGGTATTTCAGAGAGATAGCACTATAAAATTGGCATCAGATCCGCGCTATCACAAGGAGGCAAGTTCACCAACATACCCTGTATCCGTCGCACATACACACATGCACGCATACACAACACACATGGAGACACGTCTTTAAATGACCTTAGTTGTTAATAGGACGTTGAACTAATTAAAAACAAACAAAACCAATCATATGAGTCTGGCTGATGCAAGGACGATAAACCCGAAATAAACAAAATCATTGACCTGACATTTCATACAATGGTTGTTTCATCTCATTTACACTGGTTGAAGATGAAAACTTTGCATCCAAACCATTAAGGGTGTCTTCCTGGTCTTTTCCTTTGCAGTCAACTTGCGGTTATCCTGGTTTTTGGCAGCAAACAAATAACAGACCATTTTTCGTTCTAACGCTTACTTTAATCAAGTTATTATACTAATAAATAAAGTCCCTGACCCTTCAAACATATGTTTAGACCCAAAAATCATATAAAACGGACATCTAGAAGCAAAGATATGTATTCTTTTGATATACGTGACGACGGGTGGCGGCCATTTTGATTTTTCGCGTCTGCCCGAGTTAGCCCACATTTTCACGAGGTTCACCCGAGCTCATTTTAATCAGCACCCTCAAATTGACTAAAATCAACTTTCAAACCTTGGTCCGGGAAAAGTGGTCACATGTTGGAAAGGTAGCTGCGAAGGGTCATATCCCCGAGGATAATTCCCCCTCCCTGCTTGGGAAGCGTCAAACTAGGCTTGACATCTTCCAACAGGAAGTCAGCCTCTTTTTCATTGGGCGATGATAGGCATGGCATGCTGTGACCTAAGGGCAGATTCATTTCCTCCTCAACATGTGGAGCAGCTTCTATTTAAACCCCCACTTAGAGGCAATGGGTGCTATGGTACCTCCAGTATTCCATGTTTTCACATAAGACCCCTGACCTTGACCCCTTACATACCTCCCATCCTTCGGGATAGCCTGTAGGATGGGGTCAAAACAGGACTCTTTCTGTTTAGGAACCATTGCCCGAGGGTCAGTATATGGTATACCCTCAGGTAGCATGGAGGTAGACTGAGATGTACATCTATCCCCCCAGAGTGACCAGCTATTTGTTTGTTGCCCTTGGCTACTGACATGCATGTACTGACCACCCTTAGGTGTAGTCAGTAACATAGTGGCTGGACTAGAGGTCTTCTTTGGAGGCGAGGCAGCACAAGCCGCCATGCTCTCTTCTGTTTTTTTAAGAGCCTCGGTCTCAAATGTAACCACTAAGTCTCTTAAGGTGGCTCGACACATCGTCATCAGCGTCCATTTTCGTGACATACTTCCGGAAAAAGTACAGCTAGGACTCAATTATCTTAATCGAAATGTGCATGTACACCGTGTCGTCATTTCCGTATTGCGTATCGGGCATTCAATATCGTAGTGCAAATTATAGTAACACCTGCTGGGCCGTTTTCGTTTAAACGGTCAAACCGATCGGACCACTGTTGTTCGTTTATTAAATAAGGTCGGACCTAGTAATCTGATGCTGCTTTCAGGCGAGTCTTGAGAAAGCCTTGCAAGGCCTGCATACACATTTGCAGGTCCGCCAGGATTTACACCCGAAATTGTTACATTTATAAACGGTCAAACCGGTTGTTCCGCATAAACGAACAGGCCCATGGTAAACAATAGTACACGTGCGTGCCGATGATATGTCAACACCCGATATCAAGATTTTACCGGGAAATGTATACTCACACGTACTTCAGGAATAAAGCTTTCCAATTCATAGACATAAACAGACTCACGGGAAGACAGTGACATGAGACCAGACGACCTCA